TAATACTCGGTTATACTTACCAAAATTAATTGCCTTTTTACAGTCTGCTTCCATCAACCAAGCATTTGACATTACATGGGACACACCCATATATATACATACATGTCCCATCTTCATTTTGGTGCTTGGTATCTGATTTAGAATTAAAACAAAAAAAAAAAAAAAAAAAGAAAGAAAGATCACTAATCCTTAAGAAACAGATTGAGCCAATAATAAATTATTGAATCTTTATTACTCATCATATTTCCTTAAACAAACATAATTCTAAATCTATAGAAGGTGTTTAACAGTGAAGAGAAAAAGACAGAGCAAGATTAATGGAAGCAATAACAAGTAAATACTAAGATGGAAGGATAATAAAAGTTGCTAATTTTTTCAAGTTAAGCCAATAGAGAATAATGAATTTTTTTTTTTATTCTTTTCAACTCGCGAGATACGAATCCAGTTTGGCGACTGGGAAAAGGGAACTTATTACCGCTTGAAGCTACCTTCTTGGAGTATTATTAGTATCAGTATCAGTATTGTACAAATTCAATTATTTATTTAATGGAAGACTGCTACGCTTGCCATCCATCCTAATTAACCAAGAAAGTAAGTAGAGTAGGGAAATGATTGAAGAAACTAATATTTAGTGCATCTCACACATTTCTTAATTAATGACAATCATTCCGGAGTAATCCTCCTCCTTTGTCCCGTCCTGATGAACAAGCCATGTGAAAGATAAAAGACTGTTCCCGAACAGGAAAAAGGTTAGAAAAACCCACATGGGTATAGATACGTGTGAATCCTATATACTGATTTAACATGGACGCCAGAGTGGCTTCGACTTGACAAAAATCCCAGACATAATAAAGCGAATGTTAATTCAAATACACAATTTTTTATTTTGATGGATAATGTTAGAAACAAAGAAGCAAGTGTATGAAGTTCATAGCTCGAGAGGAGACGGATGAGTTAAAAGCATATATCAAATGGCTCACAATAATGGCCAAGACATTTATAGTACACCATTGACAAGGAAAATATCCTTCACATTCTTGAGTAGCTATAGCCTTCATATTGCTCCATGAACTCATCATTGAACTTCCTGAAACTCGCCATGATTGCTGGCATGTCTTCCTCAGCCGGTAGAATGGTTGTCCGCAAGTGAAACACCCTGTGTCAACAAAGAATGCCCATTAAGCATATTTGTCTTTTGACTTGCAGTCCAAACAAATTTCGTGAATACAGTGACTTATGTGAAAGATACTTTCAGCATCCTATTTTGACCAAAAGAATAAAATGGTGTAATATTTGATGAATAGAAACTCGGAGAATCAGGAAGAATATATTCAGAATCTTATATAGAAAAAAAGAAATACTAATTATAAGTAATTACCCTTCTTTCTGTCCAAATCCTGAACCAGGGACAGTGGAAATGCCGGTGGCTTCCAAAAGCTTAAGGCAGTAGAAGACATCCGGAACTTTTCCAGCCTTTTTGGCAGCTTCTATCGCTCTTTGTGGCAACCTTATTTGAGGAAATGAATACATGGCACCTATGTGATAAACAAACTGGAAATAAATATTTGAGGGGAATATATAAAAATTCCAGAAAGATGGAACTAAATGTTGACAGTGCTTTTTTTTTTTTTTTTAAAAAGAATCAAATACCTTCTGTGAAATTACAGACCACATTTCTGCAGCTGTTAAATCCATCAGTCATAATCCTTGCTCTTCTTCTCAGAGATTCAAGTATTCCTTTGCTGCATGTTAAATGATACATAGAGATATATTAAATACTGCTCAACTAGGCCATCCCTTTCTGACCTTTACACCATAGAGGGAATACTGCTTATCTAAGAAGATTCTAAGCAAAAAATATTCCATCTTTGTGGACAAACCTTTCCCTAACATATTGATCATATGAAATATCTCCTGGTTTTGGTGGGTTTACCATTAGTCCCATCTGTAAACAGGAAATGAAGATTATTAATATTGGCGGCATAACCATCAGAAAACATATCGTTGAATAACATTACAACATTCAGATTCAACTTACAAATATCTGTGCTGGGACATTAGGACTGAGAGATATTGAAGCAATCTTATAGATCTCGTCAACCGTCTGCAACATGAGATCATGAAAATAAAGAATGAAGCTTACCACCAATACCAGTTCATGTATCATTTGAATATAAAGATCCTTATGCTAAGTTGCTAACAGATTGGAACAGCAAACAGAAGGAAAAGCTTCCAAGAAATTACCAATTATTGACAAAAATTCGTAATGATACCAAAAACAAGCTAATTTTTGTCTTAAATGGTAGGAATATATATATATATATATATATATATATGTTGAGAAGAAATTGTAAGGATAATTTAACCAGCTAATAATAAACCCAAAAGTTCAGAGGATTCCATCTGACCACAAAAAACACTAATTTCCATATATCTTACTCAATAAATCAGTTTTTAATTGAAATTGATCAAATTTAGTTCAGAAATTCTCCATAAAATGTTTATTTCTGCATTTTCAAATTCAGGTTATATATGAAAAAGCCATGCTTGTATCTGAGTAACATGAAGAATAGTTGAATTATAAAAGAGGTTACCTTTGGAGGAATGTTTGTCATCTCAAAATATCCACCTCGCTGCCCACATTCACCCCAGTATCCTTTAGACACAGTGTGAAAAGAAACAAGCTGGACTTCCTTGCTTATTGGTGGTCCCATATCCATCAAAACCTTCCAATGAAACATGCAAATAGTTGTATCAATATCTAGGCGAAGGCTTAGATTAGATATAATAGCATAAGTATGTTTACCTTCCTAGAACTAATGAACGGGCGTTCATCCTGATATATATTTTGTTGATAAACCTCATCCCCAAGTAACACCAAGTTTTCTTGAAAACAGAAGCGCAATATTTCTCTCAAATTAGCTTCACTGAGACACTGTCCAGTGGGGTTACCAGGGTTGATAATCACCATTGCTCTTACCTGTACATTCAAATGGAAGAAAACAACATATAGTTATAATTGGAAAAAGGACCTTGCCAAAAGATTTTAACTTTGCTAAGTGTTATTGCCAATGCAAGTGAAATTGGGCTAGTTTCAGAATTCAATTCGGTGCAATTCTTAATCAGGAACTCTGTCTATGCTCCATCTACAGGTTCAAAGATTCAAAGCTGTTTTCTCTTAATTGTTAAAAAAGCATACTCACTGTTATTCCTTCAGTGCGAGCCTTTGCAACAGACTGGCGAAGGTCATTAACATCAAGACCCCAGTTTGCAGTCTCTTCCAGATAATATGGAACAAGAGAACCACCGAGTAAAGATATTGTAGCTGAATAAAGTGGATACTGTGGGACTGGAACCAAAACCTGCAACATACAAATTCTAGAAAAGCAACATTTTGGTAGCACTGAAAATATTAAGAACCTGTTTAGTGCAGCTTTTGGTTGTGTTTTTGTATTTCAAAAGTACTTGTGTAAGCAAACAGACAAATACAGTGTTTTTAATAACTAAAAGCAAAATGCATTTTTGATAGGTTTAAAGCCAAAAGTTACAATTTGTAGCTTTTAAAAGATTGTTTTGACTTTTATTAAAAATTTACACTTACAATTCCAAAAATAAATTTCACCAAATATAAAACTTCTGTTTTCTTTTAAAATGATGGTACTTTCAATAGGTACTTATACTAAACACCAAATAATTTTGACTAAAAGCACATTTAATCAAAAACTATTTAAACAGTACTTTTAAAACTCACAGTACAAACAGTAACCCATCAATGCTAACTAAGAAAAATTCTAAGAAACATAGAAAGAAATATGAAAAACATGGAATCAATAAAAGCGGCAGAACTCTGAAGAGACAATATTTCATAAAAAAAAAGGAATAACAAAAATATATTACCCCATCCCCTTGACCCCGGATGACAGCATTCAAGATTTGCATCACACCTTTGCTTGCACCATCAGTCAGGAATATGAGTTCTGGGTCACTATAATTGGAGGAAGAGGCAAAGGATACTTTCAGCTTACTTTTGCAGCACCAAGTTTCAGAATACAATTAATCAATAGTAAATAATTTAATAAAGATCAATGTGAAGGACAATCACCTTGGATACCCATCACGCCTTTCAATGAACTCAGCTACCTCCTTCCTTATCCCAGGAAGACCTCGGGAGTCACTATATGCACCTAGAGAAAAAGGAAAGAAACATTGTTCAACTTGAAGTAGATCTTCTTGCCCTCATCAATCGAGTATATCCCAATACTAATAAGAGTAATTTAATAAGAAATATAAAGCATCAACATTCAAGTAAATATGAGGCTAGAATATCGAAAGGAAAGAGTTGGAGAAGCAGGTAATAGTCATAAGAGTGATTTTACACTGGTCAATCAAAAGCAAGTGCTCCACTAAAGGAATTCTCACAAGGAGAAAGAAAAAAATCACGAGACCATTTAACCAATAAAACGGTTGGCTTTTCTAGATGTTGATGGTGGAAAATATGTTTTCAGATAAGCTAGATCAATGGAGAATTGAATTATGAAGGACTCCTCCCTAAACTATTTTCGCCCTTCACAACAATCAAATAGACATATAATTAAGAAGAATAAATCTATTCATGATACTTAGGGAACCGTAGAATCCTCTCACTGCAGAATATTTAATACTCCTTTTTATTTAACAAAATACCTAGACCACCAGGCGTCAAGGAAAGGTAATGCTTAGCTCTTGCAATTGCATCAGCGGGAAATAATAATCCTACATTTGGATCATCTAGCAGAAATGGAGCTTGGCACAGAGCAACCACCTGCAATGGAAAATTTTCTCAGTTCAACATATAAGAGAAGTACTTCACAATGCAGAAAGTTCATGGATAACCAATCAAACTTCAGATACGACAAGTACCTGGCGAGGAAATGTCAGTGGCTTCTGACCCAAGGCATGTGGATTGCCAACATTTGTGAAGATAATCTGTGAATAGAACTTTTTAGAGGTTAGTGAAATAAAAACATACACGTTGAACCATTTAATCCTTTTTCTCATAGTTCCACAAGGGCCAAAATGTGTAACAATAATACTTTAACAACCAAAGGAGGAAATTAGTGTTTGGCCTGAATAATAGATCTTCAACAATACTTTTATGGCATAAGATCAAATTCATGTTTTCCTTTTTGGATGGCTTTCACGTAGAAATGAGTGTCTTGCCAATCAAGAGATACAAATACTCGAGAGGCATCTTGGATATGGCAGAATATATATTAATTGCTAGAAAGTAGTAATTGTGTTTACCATTTTGAAATCTCTATAGTCACTAAGTTGGCAATCAGTTTGAATTCATGTCATGCGTTACTTGATATGCCTCCAGAAGAAAAAGGGTAAAATGCTTCACCAAATCAGATTACAGTTTACATCTTTTTAGTTTACTGCAATTTGAAACTTCAACGACAGTCATAACAAGCTAGTGATCGTGCTAATTGGGTATTTAAGCAACAGCTGAAAATAAGAAGACAAGAAGGCTTATTGAAGGTAAGATTGGCTATGTACAAAACAGGTATACCTTTTTTCCTTCTTTCTGAAGTTCAGAAGCTCGAAGGTACAACTCGCCTCTAACAGCATACTGAACCCTCTTCACGTTTTCGTTAAGGGACTCGTAATCTAATGCCTTAGGAGCCATGCTGGAGTAGAAATTTAACTAGAATTACCACCAAAACAACTGAGACGTACGTCAGCTACTTGTGAGTCAGTTGTTGACCTGAAAGGAAAGGGAGAAACAGTTATACAACCCAGAAAACAAATTTCACAAAGAATAAGGATGTTAAGAATGTGGACTATACTAGGCCTAGAAGAAAAAAAGGTTACTGATAATTTACATGCATTATTTTGTTCCTACTCTTTTCCATTTGTCAGAAAACGCAGAGGATGATTGTACTAAAGCAGCTCCTAGGATAATCAATAATTACTGGATTTAGTTTCAACAATTTGATTAACATGGTTTCAAAATGCTTTGATGATAATAACTCTCAGTTACCAATTAGCAATAACCCAGAGTCCAGAATGGAACTTACAAAATTTGGAAGAATACTAACAATAGAAGACATAATAGAGTAAGACAGCAACAAACAATTGCAAGTGCCACCACAGATAACCAATCACAGGTTTAAAAATAAAGTAAAAAACCATAAAATTACAGAAATTACACAGGATCTCAGAAGCTTCAAACTGCAACCACAGAAAACAACAGGTTGAGCGCCGCAAACTTCCATCAAGATGAAATATGCCGATGAAAGCCAAATTCAATAATAAACGATAAAACCCGAATCTCGAACAAAAAAATGTAAAAAAAAATAAAGGCAACCACAAATGACTTCCATCAACCAAATCATATAAACCCACAAGAAAACCCATAATGAATTTCAACACCAGAACCCGCAAAACTATTGCATCAACGCATACATTAGATTTATACCAAAGAGTGACACGACAGATGAAGTGAGGAATAGCCCCTTTTTAGGTGGGAATTTTAATACGGATCAGCCAAGTGAGAATAACAACCTATGAACCGAGCTGGGGCCTTCCTGGAGCGACGATCACTTGTGGGCTCACTCGAGCGAGCTCGAACCAGGAATTGCTACGTACAGGCGCGTAGAGAAATCCACGCACGCACCTAGTGTTCTATTTCTTAAGAAGTCGGGGGGCGTGTCAGATACAAAACTGGACCCTTTTTGTGTCCATAGAACATATTTATGTGGCACAACAGAACATGTAGAAGCAATGGCATAACCATAACCACTGAAAAAAATTGGGAATGGATTATTCATAATTAGGACAAAAGAGATAAAGTCCATGGACGAAATGTGGTGCAGCTTTAAGCTCTGAGTTCTTGGTAGATAATGAAGCTTGTATATCTTTTTTGCTTTTTTATTTTGGACTCGTCAAAAATGCAATTCAGCAGAATAGTGTCGTAGTGGTCGATATTTGATTCGTTGGGATTTCACTCTCTGCCGGGATCACGACATCAAAGGCATATTTTTGTTTGATGTTTACGTACATGCTGGATATTAAATCTTTTATCCTGTTTTTCTTATATTTTCATAGGTACACCTTTTCATATTAAATTTAGATATATCTAACATTTTATTGTTTTGTTGAGAATAGGTGAAAGATTTCGCCAAACATGACAAGTATATAAGCTATCCTATTTTAAGTCCAAGAAATTCAAGAAATTGATATAAAATTTCATGACATGGGTAAGGAAAAGAAAATTATGCAAAAGCAAATAAAGATTTGAGTTTTATGATGCACATGATGTCAGCATATTAATGATTATAAGAGAATCTCCTTCATTGTAAAGGTTGAGTGATACCCATTTGAATAGCCAATTTATAATCTAGAAAGTAAAACAGAGGCTTCTGCCAGCTCCATTGATTGTGGAGAAGAATTCTCTTCATGCTTGTAAAAACTACACCATCTTTATGATCACGTCACAATGTCTCCAATCTTATCCAACCATTCTTTTTTATGGATGTATCTCAACTAAGTTTACATACACCTAGTGGCAGTGAAGTCCAATATAGAGTAGATTGCTTCGATCCCTACAATTATTTTGGGATTTGAACACCAATTTCGTTGGTCCTCCGTAAATCCTCCATCTTTGTCCTTAGGAACTCGACTAATTGGTGTGGTTGGGTCCATTTTTTCATGTGCAAGTATTAATTTCTATTCCACCAAATACCCCAAAGAGTGTAAAGAAACCAAATAATTGATTGAGGAGTGCTTGTAGATAAGACTTTCACAAACTAATCATAAAAGCTAGCATCATGTTTAAGGGTTAATCTCAATGGTTTCTATACATCATAGACGTTTCGAACAAATGATCCACATCTTTCTTCTTTTCCTCACACATTGGACAAACTAGATCCATGTACATACCCGTTAGATTTCACAAACACTAGGTTTCTTATTAAATGTCATATTAAGTGTTCGAACTATGAAATGGCTGTAGCAGTCCATAACTTCTTCCAACTCACCCCAATCTGTATTTAAGTAAGCTAGGTAGAGAGGAACTATATTGTTTCCATGCTAATCAGTAACCTAATTTAACTGTATAGATGTCGTATTTTTTATATACCCGACTTATTTGTCAAAGGATAATTTATAACTCAATAAAGTGTTTAGAATTTTATGTGTTTTGAAAGATAAAAAAGTTGAATAGACTAGTTGGGGATTTAATATATTTAGAGACAAGTTAGAGACAATGTGAACATCTTACTGAAACAGTATAGGAGACAATACTTTTCTGAAATACAAACTTAGTAGCCACTAATGTTCTCTAACTCATATCCTTTGACCATTATTTACTTTGCGATCATATACCAAGGGCTGCTTGCATGAAAATATTTCGATTCTAATAATTTGAAAATAAGAGAGTCTAGGGCTACAATAAGCCTCCATGCTTGCTTGACAAGCAAAGCTTTATTCAAATAATTGATGTTGTATAAACCAAGATCCTCTTTAAATTTTGAGGGGCATAATGCATTCCACTAAAGCTCAGGATCTTTCTTCTCTTTTTTATTTCGACCCCACTACGAATTAATTATATACCTAAATAGAACTACTATTAGGCTAAAAAAAACATACTCATGAAATAGGTGGAGATGGATTGACTACTAACTAAGATTCCATGTTTAGCTCGTGTAGTTTAGTGCATCGTAAGTTTGAATTTTTTGACAATTTTTGTCATTACTAGTTAAAAACTTCTTTCGAGGAGTGCCTATCAAGATGGGAAGACCCAAGTATATTTCATGTTTGTCAACTTATTGAACGCTCAGTATTCTGCTAAGAATGCTAAGGTGGTGGCACATTTATCTATTCATGTCTTTTAAAAAAGATATAGTAAATTTCTGACGATTTATGGATTGTTTTAAAGTCTTTTCATATTATATTAAGATCTTATTAAGTACTGTATATTTTTTGTATAGAAGTTGACCCAAAATTTAGGTTATCATATGCAAAAATAAGTGTGCAATTATGGTAGTATGTCATTTAATCTTTACTCCATGAGGTCGACCTTCTTGTTGTGTTTTCCTTAATTGAGCTAAAAATATTTTTACATAAAGAATTAAAAAGCAACGATATTAATTGTGTGGATTTACCATTTACAATGACAAAATAATTGACAATAGTAAGTGTCGTCAATTATTTTGTCATGTTTCGTGAAAGAAGTTATTACTATCCTTACGTGTACATTGGTCATATATGGGATGAATAATTTGGTCACATCAGATCCGACTAGATTTAGAATCTAGCAAATCATAGAGAAATAATATCTTGTACTAAGAAGATCATCAATATATCTTGACTTCTTAATGACACTCAACATTGCTTTTCATCATGTGCATGGCTTACAAAAACAAACAAAGAAGTTGACAAAGATGGTCAAAAGCTTGACAAATGAAGGGAATGAAGAAAAGTAGTCAATTCCCTTTGCATACAACACGAGGAATAGGATAGTAAGATAAAAGAAGATGTGATAAAAAGAAAAAATCCCATTATGTTTCTAATGTTCATAAGAGATTATCTATTTTATAATCTTTTCTTCACCCTTGAGGTCATAACTCCCCCCAAACCAAGTTTGAAATGTCGAATAACAATAACTTTAAAATAACTACAAACTCACTCAATTATGTAAAAAACTTCCAAGTATAGGATTGTCATCCTTAAACCTTTGCTTGGACTACTCTTTGAGGAGTGAGAAGACAATAACATATTACACTCTAGTCAAGGTTGATTTAAACTTTCATCAAATTCTAAAAGATTTCATATCATTCTTTATCAGCTTGAGAAAGTAAGACCAGAATTTTGTCTACCATTTTAATCTGAGATAGAAAAAAAGTGTTAATAAGGAAGTACTCACTTGATTCAATAATAAAGTAAGAAAATTTAAATATTTTAAGTTTGAAGTAGAGCTTATTTAAAAAAAAAGTGTAAGTTTAGTCCAAATAATTTATTAATCTTGGTCACAAAATATGTTAAATTGCTTAAGGTCCTTCCTTGATCATTTTTTTACTAGGTCCTTTGCAACAAATAATTTGACGAGATCAAGGCACCTTAAGGCGCAAGCTAATTTGAGATTATTTATAAGCAATATGAATTTTAATACTAGTTAGTAAAACTTCAAAACAATAAAATATGAAATTATGGATTTAATTTTAATTGATAAGTAGGGAAAGTATAGAAAAATCTATTTTCATAAATCATAATACAAAATTATATCATCTTCCCTTATTTATTTATTTCAAGCTGAATTTTTTTTTTAAATATGAAATTATTGTAATATAAAATTAATTAGAAGTAGGTAGTGATTTCATCCTCACCAATCACTAATTTTGCTGTTAGTAATAGAAAATATTTATAATTCTAATTATAATTAACAGCTTATAAATTATTTTACCAACTTTTTCTAAAATTGTTGCACTTTATTTTTATTTTTTAAAAATTAGTATGACCTAAATAAGAAAACTTAAAATAATTTTTAAAAATTTTAGAAATTATATTTCTATATAATATGTCTTATTCTATTTTCAAAAATGTATATGTATATTTTTTCCTTTTGTGCAAAGTTGATAGCTAGTAAGTGATATCTTTAATAAACACACGAATTGAATAATATAATTTATAACTTCGGGGTACCTGAAGACTGTATATTTTATTCTTAAAAAAATTGGACAATTTTATACCATTAAAGGTTTATAATTTTTAAGACATAAATTTTTTTATAAAGAATTTCATCAACTCGCCTTATAAGATTTTACAATAAAACAATTAATTAACTTTCACCGCACCAACAGACAACAGATCGCCTTCGCCGGCCGGCGTCTGGGTATGAACTCCGTGTTTCTACTACAATACGCACTACTGACCGGAGCAGTTATCCAACGACGAAAAACGGCATCGTTGCGCTTCATATATATACTGTGCTAAGAACCTGCCGCTTTTAACGGGCGGTGGCGTTAAAAGTGAAGGAATGAGTGTCATCATCATCACCTACCTACCCCCAGAGACCAACACGATTTCTAAGCAAACTTAAAAGAGACAAACAGAGATAGAAGAGTGGACCGCTAAAATGGCGGCTGCCTCTTCAACAGCAACTCAGTCCCCATTCAAAACCTTCGACGCCTCTCAAGCCAATTCCCTTAAACCCCACTCTTCTTCTCGCATCTTTATCAACTTCAAATCTTTGACCCCTAACCGTAACCGTCAAATCAGGTGTCTTATCAAGAGCTTCGAGAACCAGCCGCAAAATCAGAATGTAGATTTCCTATCGGGAAGTGATTCCATCCATTTGATCCAACCCAATTCTTCTCCTTCCTCCGCCATATCCATGGCTGCTGCTTCTTCATCGGAATCTGTATCCAAGACCGTCAAAAGGGTCTGTCTCTTTTACTGCGATGAGACCAAGGCTCTTGCCGAGCGAGTCGCAGCGGAGTCTGATGCCATTGAGCTACGTAGTATAAACTGGAGGTAATTCTATTATTTTCGGTTCTTCTCTTCCTTTACTTTAATTTTTTGATCACTCTCAATCAGAACAAAATTCTAACCATATCAAAGAATTCAAAAAGAGGAAAAGATCGATCGGAGTCAAACTGCAAGAAGTTTATAAATTAGATTCTTTCTTTGGGTTCCAATTGATTAGGCTTGCCAATTGGACAGCCATGGGGGTTTGGATTTGGAGACTACATTTTGGTTTTGTATATGACGAGGTATTTGCAATTGTAATGGTGTAGGACGTTCGAAGATGGGTTTCCAAACTTATTCATACCAAATGCTTATGGCATTCGTGGACAGCGCGTAGCTTTTTTGGCCTCATTTAGTTCTCCCGGCGTCATCTTCGAGCAGCTCTCTATAATCTATGCATTGCCAAAGCTGTTTATCTCCTCGTTCACGCTTGTCCTTCCCTTTTTCCCTACGGGCACTTTCGAGCGCATGGAGGATGAAGGCGATGTTGCAACGGCTTTTACTCTTGCTAGAATCTTATCAAATATACCCACCTCTAGGGGAGGACCCACTAGCTTAGTCACCTTTGATATCCATGCATTGCAGGTTTACATCTAATATTTGCTGCTATTATCCATTATTAATGTGGATTTTTCCTTGAATGAACTTTGTGTTTCCTGGTTCTTCCTTCTCCATTGCTTCAGTCAGTAACAATATTCTGATTTCCCTTGTTATTTTGCCACTTTAGGAGAGATTCTACTTTGGCGATAATATATTGCCATGTTTTGAGAGTGGTATACCTCTGCTTAAGAAGAGACTCCAACAGCTTCCTGATTCTGACAATGTAAGTTCCCTCACCCTTTTTTTCAGTTTCAACATCAATTAAGTTATTTAATTTGGTTCTCTGTGGGACTTTCAGAAAGTGAACAGTACTTACTGAAGTTATAAGAAGAGAATTTGGTCTTTCACCTGATGAGTTCTTGGAGTTTAGCTCCCTGCTCTGGTCTTAACTAGATATAATGGAGCCCAAACAAGTGATAGTCTATTTTTTTCCCTTAGTACTGAAGTCTCCCTTTGTATGCTTTGCATGGTTGTTTAATTTGTTATGTTAATTCGAGTTATTCTATAGTATTGAACTTTGAATATTTGTCCTTTTGATTTGTGAGGACAAGGAAATAAATAGTTACTGAGAACTATAACTTTGAAGAATCTTTTTTTTTTCTCCTGATAATGTTTTCTATTTTATTTTGTAGATATCCATTGCATTCCCTGATGATGGTGCATGGAAGCGGTTTCATAAGCAACTGCAACATTTCCCAACGGTATACATATTATCTATTATCTGTGCTGCAAATGCTATCTGACATGATCATAATTATATCTATTGCATCTAATGATGTGGAAAATGATTTAATTTGAGCAATAATATTGCATTACGACTTTTGGTATTTTCTAGATGCATAAACCTTAAAGTTCCGCATATAGGTGCGTGCATACATGTATTGATACATATTGATATTATCTGAGTGCATGTATCATTGACCTATACATGTATCAATTTTTTTTTTTCGAAATCAAAGTATGAGACCTATACATGTATCATAAGTTGTCATGCCCCAGGTATTTGATTAACAGCCTGTCTGGTGATTAAGAGTGAAATGGAGATATATTCAACAACTTCAGAAATATAAATACTTTCTAAATTTGAGCATCTAATGTTGCCATTTAGAAGTTCTTAATGTTTGGTGCAAACCATAAGGGTAAGGGGACAGGACCAATCTTAGGTAAGTTGAATCCCCAAGGTAGAACTTCTAAATCCTGTGCTCAGTGAGAAGGCTCCAACTATTGTGAAGAAGCATGATCGTGCCTCCTAGCTGGTTTTAGTATTATTTTCCTTACAGTTTTCTAACATGATAACTAACATAAAAGTTGATCAAGTTTGTTCTTCAGTTTGCAGTTGTGCACTCATGGATATCTTTACAATAACTTCCTGCAGTAAAAAAAAAAAATGTATTGTGGTGACCATGCAAATTTCAATTTATTAGTATGAAAAAGAGACAATTAAACAGAAGGAAACTGCACTTGTTGACTCCAGTAAAAACCAGATAAAATTTATCTCTAAAAAAGAGAGCCTAAATCAACTTATTTGAACATACACCCAGCAGATGCGGACATTTGCATGTCCAGGTTAAAGGTTCCTTCGTAGTCCATACTCTAA